TTATTAACGTTACCATTTATGCTATGAGAAAATATTATTTTTTAACATGTTGATGTATGTTACAGAAGAAAAAAGGCAAATTAAAATGCCTTTTGAAAAATGAAAAATCGTAAAAATTTCAAAATCAATAATACTCAATTACAAATTTTTGATTATGACTGAAAATGAACAGAAATCAACAATAGCCTTTTCAATGTAAAAATTTGTATACCGTTAATGTGTATTTTTCGTGCATATTTTACTAGGTAGAACAAAGTGCTTCAGAGAAAAAAGAGTTGCAAATAACTAAAATATGTTATAATCGCAAACAAAAGTATCATATATATGTCATATATATTTATACATGCCTCACGTTTCACGTGTACTAGAAATACATCGATTGAACACATGGCATAAGTAGTATACTCGTCTAGTATTCTTATAAATAAATCTGTATTTTGCATTTTAGTAAGTATATAATTTTTCAAAAATGGGTATAGATAAAGAAGAACCAAAAAGTAACTTAGAAACAACTGAGTTTGTTGAAACTAAAGGGAAAAAAAAGCGATCTGCAAATGATAATCGTATGGAGGTAAGAAATAAGGTTATGTTGAAGTTCAAAAGAATTAGTTCATTGTTTATCATATATTTAATGCCTGAATATCTTTGTTTATTATATGCTTAGGTTGATGTAATCAATGGTATAGAAGGAAAAGCAAAGTCACATGTGACTTCAAAAAAGCGTAGAAATGTAGAAGGTGGTGAACAAAGAAGGGTGAGAAATTTGACTTTCTTAACCTTTAATTAGATACTCGTGATGTTCTCGGTACTCCAGTTGTGTATTTGTGAGATATTTGGTTGCATTGCTTATCTCAGCTATTATGTATCTGCTTTTGAATATTATGCAAAAGCATGATACAAATTTATGTGGAGTGCTGAGGACACCCTATGTATGTAAGCACATCATTTTGTACCACGTATTTAATTAATTTTATTCATGTATATATTAAATGTTTTGTGTTATCATTAAAATACAATAAAATATTTCTAGGTACCTGTACCTGCACATAGGTATACTCCTTTGAAAGAAAATTGGATGAAAATATTTACACCTGTTGTTGAACATTTACAGTTACACATAAGGTTTAATTTGAGAACACGAAATGTAGAATTGCGTACTGCTCCAGAAACTTCTGATATTGCTAATTTACAAAAAGGGGCTGATTTTGTAAAAGCTTTTATTTGTGGTTTTGAAGTTGAAGATGCTTTAGCTTTATTACGTTTAGATGACTTATTTGTAGAAACATTTGAAATTCAAGATGTGAAACTTTTGAAGGGAGATCATCTTTCTCGAGCAATTGGAAGATTAGCAGGAAAGGGTGGAAGGACAAAATATACAATAGAAAATGTAACAAAGACTAGAATTGTATTGGCAGATAGTAAGATTCATATACTTGGTTCCTATCAAAATATACAAATAGCAAGAAGAGCTATATGTAACTTAATTTTGGGTAGTCCTCCATCAAAAGTTTATGGACAGTTGAAAAATATTGCAAGTAGAGTTTCAGAGCGTTTATAGAATAAATACTATAAATCAGTATCAATATAAGTTGATAATTAATATTTAATGTATCTGTATCATATTATACTTTTTTGAATTTTGTAAAGAAATTAAATAATTTATATATCATTTTCTTCAATTTATCATATACATTACTTATAAATGATTAATATTTTAATTACAAGTAAATAAACTTGTTGACTCAATTGTGATATACATACAAATTTTTATTCATCCTAGTTTTACATAATTTGATTTAAAGAAGTATTTTATACTTATACTTTCTGGGCACTTTATTAAGAACTAATCTACCATCATAACTTAATGATGCAAATGTCCAAGGATCAGCAGATGACCATTCAACTGCATAAACACTATCTTCATGTTCTTCATATCTGCCCACAACACCATCCTCAAGCCTAGATAATATAACTTTATTTTGTATACTGTTCTTGAAAATCTCATTTATAGGTATTAAAATTATGAATTACTTTTCTTTTTTGCAATTGTAATCACTTTGTGTACACTCATCTTCAGGAGGTACTATATGTCCAAAGGGTTCTGAAGAAATTGATGCAATACTGCATAATATTACTCTTGAATCACTACTTGAAGTTAAAACCAATTGATCATGAAAACGATTAATTCTAATACTCCACACCCAATGTGAATGTTCCATGCGGGACAATACAGGTTCTGTAGGTGAACGAATGTCCCAAAATTTCATATACCCATCATCTCCACATGTAGATAAAATATACTGACGATTTGCATTAAAATCTAAATCTCTAAATATAAAATAAATATGACATTAAATTTTTTATTATTTTATACATAGTAAAAACTCAATAAATAAGAATGAATATGTAAATTTTATTTGATACCTAATTATTTGAGAATGAGCAGACAAAATTGTCCAAGATGCTTCAGAAGGATTTCTGAAATCCCATCCACGAACATTATTATCATTTAATGTGACAAACTGATTGCAACCATTATGAGGATTCCATTTTCCATTTGTGAAACGTGGTTGACCTTTACTAGCTAAAGCACCAGAAGTAGTAGCCTAAATAAAGTAGTAGACGTAAAATAAATCTATTATTGCAAGATTAAAAAATATATTATTACTTGTGGTCCGTTATCAGCTAAGTCCCATAATATAAATTTATTATCCACAACTGAGACAGCTTTTGTTGAATCCATAGGATGATAAGCAATGGTTTTAAGATCTGTACCATATACTGTGGTATCAATATCTGCTAATTTTTTGAGGTGTTCAACATCATTTGTATATTCTTTCAATTCTGGCAATTTCCAAAGAGCTCCTTTCATTTCACAATAACCAGCATCTAAATGGAAATATATTTATTGTTTTAAAAATACAATGAGATTTTTCATTTTAACATTATAATAGCAAAAAAGTAGTCTAAATAATAACTACCACTTAAAGTATTATAACATGTAATAAATATATTAGGTTCTATAGGAGAAGCCTGTAAGGACCAAATTTCTCCAATAGGATGATGAAACACTTGAGTTTTTAAACCACCTGTTTCTTCATTAAGTTCTACTAAATGAACTTGATTGTTATTAAATTTCAATGACTGTGTTCCTACCAAAAATCTAACAATATCTGTTTCTGCTGTTTGAGCTGATAATGCCCTTGTCTGCAATGTTACAAATAAATAATGTTATGATTGGTTATCATAATCATTTTTTATAATCACGTATTTATAAAATGTATAAACATGAATTCTACTACGTAAATAAGCCTATAATAAATGTTTTATTATGAGTTGTTATTTCTAAAAGCTCATAGCTAAGTAAACTAATCAAAAATGATGATAATTGTTTAAGATTTTTTGTATTCTATTGCATACTTGAAATTCAAGTCCGTATATTACAGGGCTATCATTTTCCATTTTTTTTTATATGGTTTATGTCTTATACAATCAAACAAAATCTTCATTTACAATGTAATCACAGCTTAACCATATGATCTGTCAAAACAACCTGCAACAGTGGCATCATAGATATGCTGTACACATGCATATACATACCCAAATGTTGCACTCAAAAATAAGTAACAACTAGAGGGCACTAGAAACAATTAGTAAAATATTTTGTAAAAAAAATGCCGTTACTGCATTTCAATATTAAATGTCCAACATTCTATAAATTAAAAATTATAATTGTTAAAAAATGTTTAAGCCCCTCAAAAATGATTTGTCAATTATATTTCCACTGTATTGTTACAATGTCTGTTGATTTTTAAATGTATTACGTACCATATGAAATAAGTAAATGTATATTAGCGAAGTAAATCAAAGGATTAATACGAATTGCATCAATCGAGATCAGATATGATGTTTTTTATGATTGACAACTAATTTTGATCAAATATCGAATTTTCCTATTAAAAAAGTACAATTTGAGTTCAACGCATATACAGCAGGAAATTCATTGAATTCATGAACCGCGTAAACAGAGGGGAGAGATATCAGGCCAATCAACGGCTCTGTTTTACCTCCAAACTAACGAACTGCAAGGACATCTATATATTTTTGTTATCCCTGCCATATCCCCACCACTCAGTTAGCAGCTCCCTGCGTTGCTTTGCGTCGGCCGACGGGTAACCAGCCGTGGGGTCACCAGATAAATTATGTCAAACGGAGTGGTGTTACGAACGTGAACGATTATCGGGATTCGCTGTGGCTCGTATACAAAAGTATCGCAAAGTGCGCGCTCATATACGATTCCGGTGTGTTGCCGAATGTAATTCACGCGACTTGCTGTCTCGTCGACTCTCGTTAAATTAGTGTTTAACTTTGAATGATCGTGCACGGGAACGTGTGCGTTTGTATTGTCTCCTTGTACAAATGCATATATCTGTATTTATTTCTTTGAAAAAACCATGCTGACCCGGCAACATCAATTGTAAGTAATCGTTTGTCGCATTACTCGATCGTTCGTTCGATTGACAGTCGTGAACTTCAACGTCCACACTTTCAGTTTACTATCATAAAACAGCGGGATACGTATACGTATTTTCCCTTCGGGCAAAAATACGCGTGTCATGTAACCAGATTCGGCGAAAGTAAAACTGAATAGTAAAAGATATAATTTTGGCAGCATTCGCATGTTGATTCTGCCAAAAATTGAAAAATCTTTTTTTTCGCCGACGTGTCTCGAAGTTTGTTATTTTTGAAATGATCGTTTGTTATCGTTTGTCCATGGAGATGTTTTATTTTCATTGAAACTTGAAAACGTGAAACGTGATACAATATTGACAGTATTGTGAAGTTTATCTTATACGAGAATCATCTTGAATTGTTGTAGTGGATAATTGTGCAAAATGAATTGAATCTAATTGATAAATACATGCCGTGGTGTTGTTCATTTTGAAATATACAATGATTCTGAAGGAAAATTCTTGTTATTCTCGAATATCAATGAATTACACAAAATTTAACGCATCAGCAATAATCATGATGATATTCTACTTCATATAAAAATAGACAAAATCCAAGACACCTATCGTATAATGTACGACGTTGAAAGTTTTCAGACTTTTCTGTCACTTGTTTCACTTGCTCCACTCCGCGTCTCATAGAAACACAAATATTGTATTATCGTCAACACAAGAATCGGAACGCGAATATGGAAACGCGTGGCTGATCCGTTGGATGAAACTCTAACTTCCACAATCGTTTAATGATATATGAGTACCGGTCGATGTCGCATGTGCTATTTGAACACGTTTGCTACCATCCAAAACTCAAAAAGGGGTATGCCGCGTGCCACCAATTCGTACTTTCAGCCAAACACACACACAACATAAACACACCGCGTCTTCGCGTTCAACGAAAGATTTATCGCGGTGGTCGTCTATCGCATAGTGGCGGCATCGACTTTTGATGTGACCGACCGACACGCACTGTCGACGCTGGCACACAAGGTACCGCATTCCGAATCGCATACGTTGCGTCAGTGGCAGCGAACGTGTTAAATAAACTGCTCAATGTTTTAGTCTGAAATACAATCTTACGTTGCATTGCACGTTACCAGTTATTATAGCCAACAGATGCCTCTAGTGAACATGGTAAACCATAGAGTTGGGGTGATACATTTGTAACAACTTTTACTATACCAAGGAACTGTATAACTATGTTGTTACACATGTATTGCTATATTATAGTGCTATACAGTGTAGTATAGCAGTACATTAATTACCTTTGTATATGTTACTGTAGTATAGTGAAAAATTATGTATGCACTGCATTTTATTGTGTACAATACGGATGCCAGATTATATTACAGGGGAGTCCTATACCGTATTATATTAACGGTGAAAATCGTAATATGATTTATCTAATTACTATATCCACTATATTATTAAAATGATATAATGCACATCTCAGCCTGTAGTAAATACTTCAGACGTGCCACTACGAAAATAATATACCATAATATACCAATTCTACTATATCTTTCACGTCGGCATAGTAGGTTATGGTAAATAATCACACTACATCTAACTCTTCAGTTGCAAAAAGGCTATTCCTTTATCTAGAAGATACAGAGTGAGCCGTTAGTTCCACAGACATTGTAGATCCGTCTATTTGTATATTCTTTGGTCATACATCATTTTTTTACATTCATTGAATATAATTTTGTTATTCATAAAGAAATAAATTCTCTAATTTACGTTATATATTCATGTATGCTTTAATTTCAATAAAAATGTAGTCTCGATGTATACGGTATCAATTAACCATGTAAATCGAGAGTTAGGTTGTATACATTTCATCGTTAGTTACATTTGAATTCCACTATGATAAACCTCTGCAGTACAAACATTCTCTCCTCGATCACTCGACAGCTGCTCGATCGATTGAATTCGCCCATTCGATTCCATAGCGCGATACGAGGCGAGAGAGTGAAAAGAGCTTCTTCCCCGTAAAGAACGTTTGAACACTGACGCGCGTGTCCATCGAGGAGGTTCTCGCGTCTTTAAAGTCGACCATTCGTTCAATCGCCGGCGCGTATATACATGGTTGACTGAAAAGGAAGAAAGAGCAGTAGGAGGAAAAGGAGGAGAAGGAAGAAGAAGAGGAGCAATGGCACGATCGCGCTTACGTCGGCTGACCGACCGTTCGGTGCGTGAAAACGAGCCGCTGGCCGGCTTGACGGCCGCCACCTTTGTTTTTCTCGTTCGAGAGCGTTCGTGGATTGCTTTTCAAGTAAAAGTTTAGTAGTAGTCTTTTGGTCTAGAGCTTACGAAAACTCGAAGTTGCCCTTTTCTCACATTTCCTTGAAGACCGATGTGTCGAAGATATCTTTCTGAAGTATTTAGATCGAAAGTTGGAAATTTCGCAGAGATATGGACATTGAAAGGTAATCGTCCACAAGTTATTGAATGTGCGTGTAAACGTTTTAAAGTCGTTTATCTTATTATCATACATATTATATACATGATGCGAAAAAGATTTTTCATGGTACATACAAGTATGACTTGATAACTAGACAAAAAAATCAACGAATTTTACTTGACACTTTATTATACAAAACACTCTCAAGGAATGTCAGATTTTCGAGTCAAGTCATAGAGATACCCCTTTAATTAATTGGCCAGCATGTTTTCGTCCTTTCGGTCGACCTCGTTGCCGCGGCGTCGTTGGTCAGCTCGCTGCTGATGCCGACACGGCAGAGGCCGCTTCCACGTGAGATCGATCGCTGGAGGGACGCACCGGTGGTCATCGTCGTCGCTCGTTTCGAGCTTTGGCCGTATATCAGTTATTCAACAGATGACGAGCAAACCGCGCGTGAACAAAGACACGAGGGCAAGAGTATATACTACGTCCTATTGCCAGGGTCTTCTTGACTATTTAGCTTCACGGAAGCAACATTGGCGCGACAACGTTGCCACGTGCTCTTTGGCGCGACCAATGACCAGTGCGAATTTGGAAACGACCCAGGAGAACGAATTATGAGTAGGGAGTGCTCTACCACCCTGCGAGTACCGCGAACTAAGCCGCGCAAAATCTCGATAGCAGCGAACGATCAAGAATCGATATTTACGAGAGCGTGTTTATTCTATGATGATAGATGGCGGGATTAAAGATGTAGCTTAGTTATTTGTTTCACGTAATCTGTCTTATAACATACTTCACGTTCACGTTCACTGACCCTGTTTCAACTCGTTCACTTATACAGTATATTTTTTCATACAGAACAAAGTCCACGTTTGAATTATAAGGATAATTAAATCGAGTGTTATTTAGATGTAAAGAATTAAATTAACAGTACATTTTTTTTTAACAAATTAACAGTAAATTAACAGCAACAAATTTATACTCCCAGGACAGCGAATATGTTAAGATCTAATGTAAACATCGTACGATGTCTTATGGCGGTTTCTATGAATGGGATACTCACAGTCCAGTCTAGATTGGCGTGAACTGATACGTGTAGTTCTTATCTAGATATCGTTTTCTGCAGAATGATCTTTGGAAATTAACAATTTATGAAAATTAGCAATCTTTAGAAAGTATAATAATTGAAATAAATAATTTCTAAATATGTGTAATCTTTAACAATAACGAACGCTTGGCATGAAACTTGTTCAACAAACGGTCTCCATTTCTTTTCTCTTTCTTTCTTCCCGTCTTCTTTTTCGAGGGTCTTTGCTCTCATGTGGGGGAGAAAAACGATTCGCGGTCGCGTCTTCGAACGTCTGTTCGCGTCCCTCTTTTTCCGGATGGCACTGTTTGAGGGCCGCTGCTGGCAGCACTTGGAGCCCTTGAAAGTGTCGTTCGAAGATGGTTGTAGATTCTGGCTTGGCGGATGGGAGATGTATATGTATAACTGGCTCGTGTAATTAGAAGATCGCGTGTTCGAACGGGTTGCTGGATACTTGAGCGGATGTGACTGGCGTTGATGTCGTGTGTCAGAGGATTTGGTTGGATATGATACTAGGTTTCGAATTAATGTTATCTCCATTTTCG